CCTTGCTGGGTGACACAGCAGGTCAAATACCAAGTGATCTTTAGACAACTTCTCCCCCAGGAGCGCAGGTGCACTGCTGAGCCTTGGCAGCAGGAATAGCTCTGCGGCTAAAGCTGGATCTTGCCAGAAGGGGTTATTACCATACTGGAGTACCTCTGGCCCTCTGAAAGGTGAAGGCAACTTCAGCAGTTCAGCCCCAAAAGGGAAGAGAGGGCAGCTGCTTATTGAGTACATTTTTGCCAGACATAAAAATCAGGTGCCACAAGGTTGTGTCCAGGACAGAAGGCATGCGTGAGCTGAAAGACTGAATTCAAGCGACTCTTCTGCATGCTATCGCTTGTGCCACTGATTTCAGAAAGAGTCCCAGAGTGCCAGATTTTGTCCATCTGTTAATCTCCCTGTGTCTGCTAGGTCTGGTACTGGAGTAAAACTTTTTCTGAAACTTTCTGGGAAGAGGCTAGAGTATGTGCATATTACTGTAGACATTTGGACCTGGGTCAGAGGGCAGAATTGGGGGCTACCTGTCTGTCACTCTTCAAAAGGGAGATGCTTTGGTGTCAGCTTGTGCAGCTCAGCAGAAGCAAATGCCATCAGGAAATCTTCAGATGCACGTGAAGGCTTTCAGACCACGCTCCGTGAAATCCCATTCTACAAAAGCTCTCAAGCAGTCAAGGCAGCACAAAATAACCCAGGAGCTGCCAAATGTTGTAACTAGCATTTCTCCAAATAAAAATACCCTTTTTTCCCAGTTCAGAGCTAAAAAATGAGTTACAAAGGATCTGATGATCAATGAAATTAATGACACGATACTATTGATTTCAGTATTTCTTCAAGGTATCACCCAAGGGGTGAAATCACCTGCAATTTTATTCAACCAGGCTGTAAGCCAGGGCTCTTGGAGTGTGTTTTTGGTACATGGCTGCTGTGCTTTGCAGTGCAGTCAGTCTGCATTCCCACAGGGCATAAGGTGATTCCTGGAAGCACCTGACTTGCCGCACACTGCTGCAGGGTGCGGACTTACATCGAGTCCCTGTCCTGTCCCTTCTCCCAGCATATAGTACTTGGAGGTGGGGTGAAGTGATGAGGAAGGGACTTAGGATAGAGCTTTATAAACACATTAAAAAAAAAAATCCTCATATAATTAAGTTGTTCATGTTCACCCTGTCTCTGTACCCCTTTTTCCTTCCTCCCTTCCTTGTACACCCACCCTGCAGACTCAGGGAAAAGCCTGTCAGTCTGAGTTGCCCTTGCACTGACACCCAGGTCAGGGGCAGAGTTGTGTGCTCTCTGTCTTCATCCTCTGCTCTTATGTTGACTTCAAGAGAGTTTTCACTTAGAAAGATGAAATAACTGCTGGTTAAAGCAGAATAGAAAAAAGCAAAATAGACCACTGTGAACACTGGGAAGGCAATAGATAAGAGATAAATAATGTCTTGGGTAATCTGCATTGTCTTCTTCATAACACAGTATGCTTAGAGGGAGTACAGTAATAAAAAGCAAATGTAGGAGAAGGCATATTCAAATGAAAACAAATTTTTCTGTTCAGAAGGATGAACTTTGGGATTTCAAGCATGAGCTGATTCTTGTAAAATCTCTATTGGAATATATTACTTCGCATTTGAGATTACAAAGAAGTACTTACTGCAACTAGCTGGCTTTTGAGAGGAATTTATGATAAGAAGGAAAAAATTATTGCTATTCTCAGCTCCAAAACAAGGGTGCCATTATATTCATGTTTTTTTCATATGTAGTTGTTTCTAACGGGGGATGCAGGCGTTGTGCGTTATGCTGTCATGAGGTCAAGTCACCCAGCCACCATCCTTCTGGACACCTTGAGTTTTGCACAACTCCCTAATGGTCCACTGAAGTGACTGTACCAAAAGTGGCTGTCCTCGCTCGTGGAGGGAGGAGAAGTGAGATTGCTGTGCTGGACCATAGGATGGAGGAGGAGCTGCTGTGTAACTTTTGGTGAAACTTTTCTTGACTGGGAGGCCTAAAGAAAGAAAATTCTTGGTTGCAAGGCATGTCCATGGCTTCTGTCCTACTCTGTGTGCTGGGTAGATCTTGTTGGAATGACCAACTACTGCTGATGTGAAGCCCTAGACTGGTGGGAGACCGCAGGTAGCTGAGATATTGGCAGGAGAAAATCTCGGTCCCTGTGGCTGGATTCAGAGATGATGCAGTTCTAGAGCTGCAATGTGAAGATGACACATAAGCAACAGTGTGCAAGGCTGGAAGCCTTTGGGTGGGTAGGGGTGAGCTGGAGATTGGAGTGTGGAGACTGGAAAGTACGGGATGTCTCTAGTAGTACTGAAATGAGAGGAAATGGGTGATGGATACTCTGTGTCAGGGATGCAGAGAGTGCAGGAGCTCATGTAGGGAGATTGGGCAGCAGTTGCAGCTTGCAGCCCTAATGAGGATAAAACATGACAACCTGGGGGGTAAAGTATGGGCTTAGGGATGCTGGGAGTGGTGAAGGTAAGATGTACAAGGTTGGAGTCCTAGTAAAAGAAACAATGATCAGAAATGTCTCTCCTTTAGTGTAGGCAGACAAAGCAAATGTTTTGATCTTGTCCTTCTCGTGTTCCCAACAGTGTTACGAACATCTGCTCCCATCTGGCCTGGAGGTGCATGACTCAGGCTGAACACAGGGTCATTACTGATACTGTTTGGGTTGGTTAGTGGTTTTTTCTTTCCCAGCCCTGTGCAGTAGCTAGCAGCCTCACACATGGTCCAAGTGTCCTTTGCCTCCCTCGCGAAGATGTAGGTTGTCTCCCTGCCCGGGGCTGGGGCAGCACGTGCTACACATCGCCAAGGGCTGACGGGGGGCATGGGCAGCAGCTCACCAGTTGGTACTTCTGAGCCTCCTAAGAGCTGAAAGTGCTTTTGGCTCCTGAGCCAGCATGAAGAGACAGTTTACTCTTCCCTGACTAGTATAAACCTTTCGTGATCTCACTGAGCCCTGTCACAGCATCCTCAGGATTCATCATGCCAGAGACAATTACCGGGATATCCAGCAGCAGGAGTGTGACATGCCTGATTTTAAGAAATGAGCTTTCCATTAGGACAAATCCCAGATAGCTAAATGATTCATTACCAAAATGTGTGGCTACGTTCTGCTTCTGCTAACTTTTGTACTCGTAGGTACAAAACTTCATTAGCACGTTCACTTGCAGAAAATGTAAATATGCTCAGTATAAATCTCAAGGTAGTCGCTGTCCTGAATGAAAAAGTCTAGCTCTTTTTTTTCCTCTTCCATTTGAATCTTTCCTTGGCATATGAGAAAAATATGAGTTGAACTTGGCAGCTGGCATTTTGTGTTTGACCTGTCATGTGCTGAGCACGATGGGAATAGGTTATGACAGATTTGTCATATTTAACAATGAGTCTGTCGGTGTCTTGTTAGCACTGGGGGATGTGCTTCCATCACAGGATTTCCTGGAAGAGTAAAAAATGTTCATGCAAAATTAGGCACAATTAGAAAGTCTCAGTTTTGACACTTCTCAAAATCTTGAACCTGGAGGCTATAAAAACCTGAGTTTTAAATTTGGCAGCTATGCAGAAGGTTTGGTGTGTTCCCCATGGGATGTTCCTTCCATTATTTCCTTCTGCTGCTGCCCATAGAATGAGCTTCTGGACATTGGATCTATTATTTGTTTTTATTCTGGGGAGACGTTGCCTGCCAGCTGCTCTTTGTTCCTTCCATTCACAGTAAGATTACTTTTCAGGGGTCTTGCTTGAAAATGTGATCTGTTCTCCCCTGCTGGGAAGGAATGGGCAATAAATTGACTCCAAGAAGAAAGTGACTTAGGATGAAGGGCCAGAGAGATGCAGTCGGTGTGCTGGTGAACCCAAGATGCTCTAGAGGAGCTGGTTCCGTTGCTGGACCCTACAACACTGATAACTCTGGAAACTTCCTGAGTCTTATGTATAAGATTATTGCTGCATTTCTTTGTGTGGAGTTGACACAGTTTGATGTGAGATTATTCCACAGAACTACTGAGACCAAAATAGTGAAGTTGTTAGGTTGTACAGTTTTGGGAACATTTCTGTTAAATTCCCCCTCTTTCTCTCTCTCTCTTCAACCCCTACCATGTAAAAGAATTGGTGAAATGTTTTCGGATAATGAATATTTAAATGTAACTTCCTGATTCCTTGTCTGGGTATTAGCCTTTATATTAAAAGGAATTTGAATAATGAAGAATTCCTCCACAGTCAAATTTAGGAGTGTTACTTATGGTTGTGAGGGTGAAAAGTGGATGTTACAAATACGAAGCAACTGTAGTACATATTTACTAAAGCTGTATACAAGGTAACAGATACGTGTTCATTTTTTTGGCATGAAAGCTATTTTTCCAATCAGTTTTTGGCAACCAAGCAACAGAAATCTGTGTTTACAAGTCTGTGATTTTTTAAAGCTAAAAAGCTTTCTAATAACTAAAACTGTGATTTTATTTATTTTTTTTTTTAAGTGGAGCATTCTAACAAATCCTCAGCTTTCCATCAAAATATAATTTAGAGAGCAGCTTTTCACCATTCTTACAGTTTTGTCCTCCAAGATGAAAGCTGTACTGGAACTGGACTTGCTTCTCCAAATGGGTGAATCCTTTAGATTTTTATCTTCACCTCTCTTTGCTTCTGCTACATCAGGTTGGTCTTTCTTATGTCCTTCATGTAAATATTTCTCAAACTGGAGTGAGCTTTGATTCTACCTGCCTCTTGGCTAAAATCCTGTTCAGATGGTGTTGCACTGAAGCTCACGTACAGACAAGAGACAACTGGAAGACGTGGCTGCTTCATCACCCAGGGTCTTCAAGTTGATCGTCTAAGGTGATTCATGTCAAGGTTGCATTTCTTTAAGAGCAATCATAGGCATGTTCATGCTCTCCTTTTCGCTGTCCTTTGTAACATGATATAATTCTTTTCTCTCCTTCTCCAGTCAATAATGGATAGATATCTTTTCAAGCTCCTAATTAAAACTCCAAATTGTGCTTTTTCAGGTCACAGAGCTCAATAATGTGAAGAATATATTACGAATGCCAAAAAGCACAAAGAAGCATGCTGTTGGGATTTATTTTAATGATGACACATCGAAAACCTTTGCTTGTGAGTCAGGTGGGTAAAATGGCAACGCACATTAGAAATCGTAAGAGCATTAATTGTGAATTTATAAATGTATTATACCTACACACAGATTTTCTGGGCATTTATACAGAACTTGAGGCAGATGAGTGGTGCAAGGTGCTGCAGATGGAGTGTCTTGGAACGCGAATTAATGACATTAGCCTTGGAGAGCCTGACTTGTTGGCATCTGGAGTAGAGAGGGAGCAGAGTGGTAGGTACATAAATGTTGACCTTTTAAATGTTTAACTGTATTGTTTTAAAGTCTTTTGGACTGTGCACATGAATATCAGAAATAAACTGGGGCAAAATTGGTTTTCCAAGCCCTCCTTCCTGTCTTGTGGGGATTGTTTTTGTTTGTTTGGGGGTTTTTTTTGGCTTTGGGGTTTTTTTAAATTGCTACCAGAGATAATAACGTAACTGGAATTATTTTAGAGTACCACTTTTCTTTCTCAGACAAGTTAGTTGCTCTTGGAGATGGGTACTGTCTTTTGGTGTGTGTTTTCTCATATGATGTCTGTAGAACAGTTTCAGTCTGTGACTGAGGCTCTTTGGCAGTGTTGTAAAGCAAATAATAAATAACAGTCATTGCATGCAAAACCTGAGCCCATGGCTACTTCACTTTCCTATGCAAATTAACTAATTACATGCACAAATGCAATTGCAATGTATTTATTCATGCACACAATTTTATTAATTGTTCGCAAATATCAGGATTACGATGGTGCAGACCTCTTCACTGTCTGAATGCACACACAAATGTTTGACGCCCTTTGAGTGCAGCATCCTGACTGCCCCAAACATGGAGTTTATTGAGTTACTGGAAGGAAATGAGTCTTTGTTTTTTAATTAGTTGTTCTAAGTGGAAATAAGATCTTGTATTAGAGATGGAAAATAGGAAATTCCTTTAATGATTTGCACATTTAATGGGCAGGGATTTTAGACTAACCTTTTGTTTTTCTCCCAGAGAGATTCAATGTGTATTTGATGCCATCCCCTAATTTAGATGTGCATGGGGAATGTACCTTGCAGATAACATTTGAGAATATCTGTCTTTGGGACATCCAGAATCCCAGAGTAAAACTCATCTCTTGGCCATTAAGTGCCCTCCGACGCTACGGGCGGGACCCATCTTGGTTCACGTTTGAAGCAGGGAGGTAGGTGTGTGGTCATTATATTGCGTTGCTTTCCTCGGTGATGCTGGGTGGTGCTCTGGACCATTTCTGAAGGTTGTTGAAGGACATGAGAGCTTATCTTCAGACAGAGGCTAGTTTGTAGCCTCTGCTAAAAAATATATTAAAAAAAAATGCTGAAACAAACATAAAACCGAATAAAACCCCTTTTAATCCCAGGTTGCAGCTTGAATGGAAGCAGTTGCCAAATAAAGCCTAAGGACGGGGGTGGGAGAGCTGAGGTATTCCAGGGGATTGCAGAGTGGAGGCTGACAGCATTATATATTACTGTATAGGGTTGTTCTTAAATAAAGCTGTATATGAGCCAGAGAATTGGATGGATGGGTCTGGGAAGAAGGAGTGAACATCATTCCAGAATTTGTACAGTGTGGGCATTTGGGCACAAAAGTTACAGGTTCTGTACTAGAAGTGGAGCTTGAAGTTGAGAGCAGTGAGTACCAAGTTGTTCCCCAAAAGCAAACTAAGTAATGGAGAAGAGACTCCTGTTTTCCATTGATTATATTCCTGTTTTCCATCTATTTGACAAATGGATTTATAAGAAATTTGAATGCATTTCCTTGTTTTAGAGATGTTGTTCTGTATTGCTTCCTGCAGCTCAGTCTTAATGAGCTGAAGTCTTTGTGTGGCTGAAGTCGGAGCACTTATTTATTGAACTAAACTATCGAATCCTTTCTAAGGGATATGGATGCATTATTTTATATAAGCACATTAAAGAATTGCAGTAGTAAAAGAGAAACAGATCATACAATTAACTTATCTGGAAAGGGAGGAGGCATTTCAATGTCCATTCTCCTTATTATTGCAGAATTTAGTTCTCTTGGGGGGCTAAAAGGGTACATTTTTATTTAGCTGATCATGCATTAACCATGATAAAGCAATGCAATGGGGATGCTGAGGAAAGGTATTGTTTCAAGTGGAAGATGAAACTCTACAAAACTCATTACAGGCAGCATTAACAGTCTGAAAGGGGAAGACAAATTAATTCTACCCAGCACAGATTCTAGATAGGGTCTAAATATTAAAAATCTGGGTCTTGTGCATGGACTCTCTAGAGCTTAAGCACTTATGATAGATCAGCGGTACTTAGCTGAGTCCCTGTTTGGTGAGAGCAATACAAATATGGACTAAAATATTAAGATTGGACCAGGGCTGGTAAGACCCATACACAAAGACTTCTAGATAATTTCGTTCCCTATTTCAACAACCTTTGTTTTCTTACTGCTTGTGCGATAGTGCTTTTAGAGCAGCGCGGTAAAGTTTTGCTTGTTCATGGTGATCTGTAAACTCAAATCTCACACTTGAATCCCATCTGTTCTTACTTTGGCAGGATGTGTGACACAGGAGAAGGACTATTCATCTTTCAGACCAGAGATGGGGAAGCAATCTACCAGAAGGTTCACTCGGCGGCTTTGGCCATAGCAGAACAACATGAGCGCCTGTTGCAGAGTGTGAAAAATTCAATGGTATGGCTTCTTATGATGCTTGTTATTTTGCACTGGGCAACAATGAACAATATGTTTCTTCAATGTGATTTTTAAGTTTTGATTCACAGATAGTAAGCAGTCTGATTATTGCTTTTATTAAATTCTGCTTGATTTTAATATTTAGGGCAGTATATATAACTGGGGTTGCTTTTCAAGAATCAAAACAACAAGGAAACTTACAGCCCTTGATTTTTGTGTCTGCAAAGCTTTCAATAAGTGTGAATTAATACAGAGATTATAAGCTCCTGTCCGTGCACATTCTCATTAGCTTCCTTTGATTAGTCAGCATCATGAGTTTGTCTGGAAGCATTTCTCATCAATCTATTTGCAAACTGTTGTGGCTCATGCTCAGATTTCCATTTGCTAATTGATGTCTACACTCCAGGGATGATTTGGAAAGAGTCATATGATTCAGATTAAACTATGGGGGAGGACTAGATGTTTGTCTGATCTCAGTGGATGTCTGTTTTCCACAAGTGCTTTTTGTGTCTAAAACTTGTTTTATGATGCACATGACAGGTAGGAAATATAGGAGTGTAAGGTGCAAAACTAGCATACAGAACAGATAGTGTGGCATCTCCAATAGCATTAGGTCTAAGGAAGGCAGTTTTATGGCACTTGCACCTAATGTGTTTCAGGATCTTATTAACTTTTTTTTTTTTTTCATCGTGAAACCTGTAGAGTGAAAAGGAATTTTCTGTTTATCCCCTATCACAACTGGTCTCTACACCCCAAGACTCACAGGTTGACTTTGACAGAAAAATTAGTATCCTGAAGATAACAGGCTTTCTGGAAAGTATAAAATGTCCAGAATGGATAACTGTGGAAGAGCCTGGCTATAAAAACCATCTCTGTTCCAGGCAGTAGTAATTGGTTTATGTAATCTGAAACAAGACTTATGTCCTTCTCTTACTGTAAACATAAGCACTGCTGTTATCCCCATCCATGTCTAATCCTTTCAGTAATTGTACTAACATCTTGGTTTCAGGGATAAGTTGTAGTGATGAACTATCCCAGTAGGAACTGGATGACCCAGCTGGGATGAAACAGCAAATGCCATTACGACTTGTGGAAGCTTAAGAAAAGATGAGAGTGGGTGTTGAGGGAATGGAGAAGGGAACAAACTGTCTTAAGTACTTGTATTTCTCTTGTTCTTCCACTTTTTTGGACTTGAGACAGAATGGAAGCCAAATACATGATAGGAAAGTTATTTCTCTTAATAACAGTCCAATGAGCAGGAGCAAATGAGGAAAGGAGGAGCAATAGGAAACTCTTTCCAAGTGTCTTGACCAGTCTTGTGGACTGGATAACTTATTGCTTCAGCCAAGCACGGAAGCACATGGGTCATTTTGTCATTTGTAGAGCAGGTGAGATAACTTAAACAGGAAAGTGAGGAAAAGTCAAGTCTGTTTCTTTGTGGGTCATGCCATGTCTTTACTTTCAACAGGAAAGAGACTAGTTAGTGTTTTTTATATATATATATTTCACACTATATAGAGAGTGATATACCAGTGTTCAGTTGATGTTACTCTGTTAACTTCTGGCTGGTGCCATTACAGTGTGGTCACTTCTGTAAAGCCCATGGGAGAGTGCTGTGTCTGTGAGGACGAAGTACTGACTTGGAGCCTTTCTTGTGACAGCCTCTGCCCTGTGTCCACTTAGACCACATGCTTTTCCCAGCACTTCATTAGGAAGTTCATTAGGAAGAGTTTGACACTTTGCTTGCTTTCAAAAATATTAGAACTAGCAGGTGGACTCTGCAGCCAGCAGCACAGGTATTTTTCCCCTTCCCAGTAAAGTATCATCAAACACCATCTTTGCTGGTTGTGACTTTTGTTTAAAACCAAGAACCTTTTAGTTCTAGTTAATGAAGAGAGCTCTTGTTCAGAAAGATCCAAAATTATCTAAGTTGAGACAGATGGGTAGATGATACAAGTACGCAACAGTAACTAAATTAAGCAGATTAAATTTAACCTAGGCTAAGTCAGCATAACTAGCTAACACTTGTAGCCCACCAGGATCAGAAGCAATTGAGTAACCTGTTGAGAGCACAACTTCATTTTCAAAAAACAGGGATAACTTCTATAACAATAGTGAATAGGCTTACAAGCAATTTCATGTTTGTTGATTTTACGTTTATATAATAGCATGTTTAATAGATGATGCCTGTACTGTAAAATTGCCATCTTACAAGCACCAATAGACTCAACAGATGCACAGTTGCTATAGATTTCAATAGAGAGCAGCTGCACAACCTCTAAAAGCTTTTTCATGAACACTATGTCCAACCACAACCCCTAAATCTAATTTTATAGACCCTAGAGTGCTAAGTGGGGGATAAGAACATATTCCTGGTGCACTGAAAGTCTTGTCATTTAGTAGCAGAACGCAATTGTTTCAGATGAGTCCATATGCTCCTGAATACGAGTTTCCCAAGTCTGTCATAGAAACGTCTGGTTCCGAAATACTCAGTAAGACTTGGTGGCTTCTCTGGGGTTCAAGGATAGTCAGATTTAGAAGTTTGGGCAAAGGATCATTATATCAGTGTAGCACTCAGGTGGCTTATTTTGCTGATTACAAAATATTTGTAAAGCACATCTTAATTCAGATTGATTGATTTCCCCTGTATTTTTCTTCTGCTTTTGAATGCCTCAACAAGGAGTTCATTTTAGATGTTTGCACTTCATGCTTGGCTGTCTATATTGTTTCTATCTCCAAGAATTATTTACCCTGCGTGAATTTTCGTATTAGTGAAGCTTGAGCTATTATTTACAGAAAGGGTAAATCAAAGAAGAAAGTAGGAGATATGGTGGTGAGAAATGAAGTCTACACCGACTGTCTTCTGTTTGCTCCTGTAATCCTGACCACTGCTACATCAGTGATGTGATAATCCAAGACCGACGTGAAGATGGTATTAAGCTACCTGAGGGCTCCTAGAGGCTGTGAAAAAAAAAAAGGGGGGGGAGGAGTTGAGTATCCCATGCTGATAGAGGGAAATAAAGCTGCCAAGTACTGTTGAGAATGTGGGCTATAATGTGTCTGTCACCTCCCTAGCAGTCGCTCTCTTTATATTACAGTATGTTGGTTCAGTTTGTGACTATAACTGGCTCTGGCTCTTGAAATTCATGTGGAAAATTGATGCGGTAGTGGTTCCTCAGCTGGGAACCTCACCCTGACACTTTCTGTTAATGTGCTGTTGCTTTCTGCTGAGGTCTAAGCATATGCTGACCAGAGCCTGTGACACTTTCACAAGGGGGTTTCATTTATTTTCTTTCTCAGTGAATTCAAAGATTTCTCTTTTAAAGGGAGGAAAGAGCTGGCTTTGCTTAGTGATGCATGAAGCCTTTCTGGTCATTTGGTAACTCATCTCATCCAACTGTTTCTTTCCTTTCACTTTTGCATTGCCAGACAATGGAAAGAAAATATCTCTTCAGGTTATATTTTCATGAGTATTTGGTTGCCATGAAAACTGACAGGAGCAGTGCTGTGACTTGACTGCTGTCATTTATGCCTGCTCTCAGTTCAGGTTGCTTTAAAAAAGACATTACAACCTGACATCTCACTAAGAAGTAATAACAGTGAACTTCCCAGTTTTGGCAGCTAAAGCTCAGCGCTTCGTAGAAAGATATTATCAGCCAGTTTACCGGCAGCCTTCCCCGACTCTTCTTCCCCTCTTAGCAACTCAAGTGCGCGCTTTGCACTAGATCCATCTGATGTGCCTCGGTCCAGGCTGGAGCCTGCCATTATCTCTGGCCATTTCCACAGAAATTCACAATTAAGAGCAGAAATGGTGCTCGCTAGCTTTTGAAATAAGAGCAGAATATTGTGTATTAGTGTAAGATGATGGTAGTCAAAACAGCAGCAATATGTTAGGGACCTTTAATTTCTGAAGTCGTTTCTATTCGTTTACCATTCTGTAGTTTTGCTGTAATGAATTTAGCAATTGTTTCTTAAGCAATTATTGTTCTAATTGATTTTGATTGATTACATGAATTTGCTTCACTGGGAAGAAAATCCCCTCAAAAACACAGTGAGTGCAATCTTCTCCAATTGGGCATCTCAAGATGAAGGTTTACCTAGTGCAAGCTGTTCTGCAAGGTCTTTGAAAATTGGATTGTTCAGCCTGAGGAAACCAACCAAACCCAACAAATTTTAAATCATCTTTCTTGTCTTTCCTTTTGGAGCCATGTTCACAGTTAATTTGAGAATGTTGGTGTGCAGGGGAGAGGGAGGTTATGTTTTTTGGGGGGGGTGGGTTTTTTGGGGTTTTTTTGTTTGTTTTAGCAGTACTTTCTAATTTTTTTAAATTTTAATTTTTTAATGCAATTTTGCTAATTTGTTAGGGTGGGATCCAAGAAAGAAAATACTTAATCTTTCCTCCTTGAGCCCCCAGGACTTGTGGGAAAAAACCACAGCCCATGTTTGACCCAGAGCTGTGTGTTGGCCCAGCAAACTGCCTTAGTATAGCTCTGTACATCTCCTATCCGGGGGACAAGAAGTGACAAGAGGTGGCATAGCGGCCCCCAGCTGCTCTCGGCACTGGCTGCCGATGGCTGCGAGTGCTGCTTCTCCATCCCCTGCCTCTGCGGATCTCTCGTAGCCACTGGAACTGCGGGGTGGCCTTGTGTTGTCCCTCAGCGCTTCTCACATCTTTGCCGCTTCTTCGGTTTAAGCTTGACTTAACATACCTTGATCCCTACCACGTGCGCAGGGAGCTGCGTTCAAACTGCTCCGGGGATCCTGATCTCCGTTCGGGTTTCAGCATCCTCCTTCTCCCCAGGGCAGAAGAGGATGAGAGGCTGTGGATTAGATGCCCTCCAGTTAACAAATTATTTGTTGTATTAATGATATGTGGAGTTGCACGTCCCGCCTGGCGCTCCGCTCGCAGCCTTTGCTCATGCGTGTTCCAGCATATCAATTCTGGCTGTTTTCAACCTGCTTACGGTGCCGGGTGCTTCTGCGGCATAAAGCCAGGTCATTAGCAAGTTATTCCTACTTTTTCTGTTGCCACAGAGATACAGTAGGTTAATTGTGAGAATGAAATCAATCATCATTAGAGCTGCCTTTGCTCGCAGTCTGAGGTGTTTTGATGAAATGCTGTGTATTCAGGACACAACATACTAATTCTTTTCTCCAGCTGTGGGTTTTTTAATTTTTTCCCATGCTGATTGAGTTCAGGAAGGGCACCCCTTCTGGCCCTTTTCTGTGTCTTTGTATAATCTTTTTCTAGCTATATTTCTTTTTTTTTTCTCCCAAGATAGCCTATTGCTTTTTGCACTCCTCCTGACAGCTGAACTGTTGCTCAAACTGCCTTAGCTTGCTGTCCAACTCACCAGTAAACAAAACCACCAAAAAAAGTATCTATAGCCAGGAAATGCCATCCTCACAGTGCTCTGCTGATTTTTATTCCCAGCAAAAGATCCATCGTTGTTTGTTTCCATGGTGCTGAGGTGTGTGTGATGATACTGCAAAGGGAGTCAGGGCTTTAGTGAAGGAGCTGTAATAAATTGTACGACGTAGGTGGAACCTTGCACGGTGCAGTGATTCGCATCCAGCAGATGTGGAGGTGGGTGGTTTAAGAGCAGGAGTTGATCTGGGTTTGGTTTTGTTTTGTTTTACCTTCACATCACAGGCACAGTATCCACTGTACAGGGAGGAGGTTGAAGATAGATGGCATCTCTAAATAACTTGGAAATGGTCTCTTCGGATACAGCCAGCCCTCGTGTCTTCTGTGCTTGCTTTGCCTGTTTGTTTTTGCTCCAAAATATACTGATCTTCTCGTAAAAGGTTCTTTCACCTCAGGTTTTGTGCAACTAAAATATAAAATTTACCCTTTTGTAAAAAGGTATCCTTATAAATCGGAAAAGTCAAGTGCAGTCTTTGTATGTTTGAACTGATGTTTTTCTGAGCTTTGGGAGGAGAATTTTAGCTGTACTGTGCAGCTTATGATAAAATCCAAATATTTTTATCAGCTTGTACATACATCTCATTGAATTCACGGAAAAAAAAAATCCTCAAAGTAGTCAGTTCTCATGTATTTTCGTGTTAAGTATGGTATAAATAACAAGGTACTGTGATTATGTGAGAAAATGTAGCTGAAGGCCCTGTATGGAGGGGGAAGTGTGAGATGGGGCTTCCAGCAATGCACTGCAGCCCACATGCTCTCCTCTCAGCATACCTGGACGTGCTGTTCATTCAAGGAATGTAGCTGAAAGATGCAGCTATCTCCTGTTGAACTCCTGTGCCATCCAGCTGGCACGTTTCTCAGCTGTAGGAGAGGGGAGATGAATAGAAAAGGCTTCAAAACTAACAAGAACAACTTGTCCTCACCCATGTGAAACATCTCCAGTCAGGTTCTCCGTGTGCTGAGGCTGTATTTAGCTTTGGGGAGTCACTTGCGTAGCTGGGAAGACCCTCTGACAGCTTTGCTGCTAAAGGGGGGGACCATACCTGCACTGCCCTGCCTTCTGCTGATCCCTGGTTTCTGTTTCAGCTGCTTGAGTTAAAACTCCCCTCAGGGGAAGCAGTGCTAGCCCAGGACCAGGGGAACACCAAGGTGAGCTTTGGTGTGCAACAGCAGCGTGGCCTCCTAACCCGAGTGGTGTGTGTCCGTGGAGACTAACCCCCGAGTTGCTGCTTGTGTAGGGTGGCCAAATGGAGGGAGGGAGAGGCTGGGCTGGCTATTGCGTTAGAAATTCTTGCAGCCAGTGGTCGTGCTGTTCTCAGACTGTCTCCCTCACATCAGTTTACTGCTTTGCAGCTTCAGATGAAAATGAGTGAGCGAGCCGTGTCCCTCAGCACCATGGTGCCCTTGCCCCGCAGCGCGTACTGGCAGCACATCACGCGACAGCACAGCACTGGCCAGCTTTACGGTCTGCAAGGTAAGGGGCTGGGGTGCAAAGGGTCAATGCGCAAATCGGATCGTGACATTGTTGAATCATTTCGGTCTCTGTCCGTCTCACTGAAGGCTGATGTTTGGTCTAAGCCAGTTGCTACTGCTGTCTGGTTGATGGAGAGAAGGGCACATCCGACCTTAAGATGGACAATTTGGCAGGGGGTTGTCATCAGGAGGGGCTCTTACTTCCCATGGGAGAAAGATCCTTCATTTGACAAATTTCGTGACTGTTTTTACAAGATGGCGAGTTACCAAGGTTGCTCAATCCTTTCTGCTACCAAACTCTTTTAATGGCACCTGATTTTTTGCCAGACTTATAACCATTTGGCTCCTCTCTCCTTTGGACGGCTGCCTCATACTAAGAATGATGCGGTCTTCATTATTCATTTTGTGTACTTTTAACATTGAACCAAAACAACTGCATCCTCAAAACCAGCTGAATTAGGGAAAGTAAAAGGCAATGGCCATGATAAATAGGCCTAGAAAAGTGTTGCTTGAACAGCTGCAACATTGCCACTGTGCCTTGCAGTGTGGCCTGAAGGTGGGCAGATGTCTTCTCCAAATCCCCTCCTTACTGTCAGCCCAAGGGGCAGCCCAGCTCAGTCCCCTCATGCCTGAAAACCTCCCCAGGCTGCAGAGAGGGAGGAATCACTCCCCGGGGATGTCTTGGCACCCAGTGGTCCCTCCGTGGTCACCAAGGGACATCTAGTGGTTATGGAGCACATGGATGGGGAGATCCTGGGGGGAGAGCGGACCCCACCTGCGAGAAGGATGGCTAAGAGGGTTTCGCAGCAGTGCTGATGTGAGCCATCCCTGCCCTTGTATTTCAGAGCATGTTTCAAAACTGAATTTCGGTCTCTTGAGATAGTGAAAACTGCAGCACCTAACAGGCAGTGTTGTTGCTTTGTGCCAGGTTCCCCAGAGGCACCCCAGGAGTAGGAGCTGCAGGTGATTAGGACCTCTGAGGAGCTGGTCCAAAGTCAGCATCTTGTAGTTATATGTATTTTTAGAATTAAAAAAAAACCCAAACAACCAACGGCCCATTTGTATTTCAAAACATACTCTTCTACTCTAAGCTATGTGGATTGGCTGGGTTAGCATTTGTATAGAAGTTGGTATTGATGAATTGTGAAGTCAGGATTGGGGCATTACTTGGAAAAGCCAGCACAAACCAGACTAAACGCTTAATAGAATTGTGGCAGCCTGGAGTATTAAATGCAAGGAGCCAATACCTGCCATAACTTTATTTTTACAACGTGTGGCACAAAGGCTGAGCTTGATTAAACATTTGGATGATAAAAATGGCCTGAAGCAGTTTCCCTTCACCATAGGGGCTTTAGAAAGTGAAGCTCAGCTTGGCCATCAGGACACAGGTTGTTTCTCTGTCATCCCTGAAGGTCAGGGCTGGTGTGTGCTGCACCAAGGGGCAGCCCTCCTCTTGGTACCTCGTCCCGCTGCAAAAAAAACCCCAGGTAAACCTGTGTTTAGCACAAAACCTCAGGACTTGGCAGGGCTTTCTGGTACTAACATGGAGATACCATCTACCAACATCAAACATTCAGAAATCACTAGACAGATATTTTAAAACATCCTGGTTTGGAAAACTTTTAAAGTGTTTCCCCCCCCTGCTCCTCTTAGATACTAGGAGTTTCTCAAGGAATAATGAATTATAGATATTTATTTTACTTTTTTTTAATAAAGTTGGAGATTGTAGAGGTTAGCACCTTCAGAACACAGAATATCACAAGCTGTGATTAAAAATTACAAGCCCGCAGCCTTGACATATATAGCCATATTCCATTCTGGTCCTCTGATTTTTAGCAAATCATAAAAGCTAGTATTTTTCCTTTTTTCAACACTAGAGGGGGCAGGCAGCACATGAAAAGCCCCAGCTAAACCCGGCAAATGTTCCAGAGGAGGGATGAATAATAAAAGCACGTACATGCCTGTTTAAATTTGTTCAATAAATTAGGGCATGGGAAGATGACCTGCTGGTGGCAGCCTGTGGCACACAAGAACAAGACTGCTTGCAGCCCTCTGACACAATCCATGGATTGGTCTTACAGTGCCTTACTATAGAGTCCTTTATTAAAACAATAATTCAGCATTGAGTTGACAAAAGATAAATAGACTGTATGGGTACAAACCACTTGTTTTATATTTAGAAAAATGGCTTGCTTGTTAAACTGGAAAAAAAGGATCCTAGGAGATTGTCGTCATGAGAATGGGGTAAAAGTCTTTGTAAAATAAGTAAGCCATGCAGCCAGCATTGGAACTAGGAAAGACACTGAAGTCCTTGTCTTGCTCAGCAGTCAGGGCTACTACTTCAGTGATACACTGAGCACCTCTAATTAGATTAGGTTGCCAAAATCTTGAAATGCTTCAATTACTACTGGAAAAAGAAGTATGAAATAATTGTTATACTGACTTGTGTAATTCCATATGTATGAAGCAGCATTTCACTCACTCAGTGCTAGAGGCACCTGAAACCCTGTATGCAAAAACTCTCTTCCACCAAAGCTGGAATTTATGATTTCTGAATTGGCTCTTGTCCTCTTTTCTGAGGTACAGAAAAGAACCGATGCTAATATTATGAGCTAAAGTGCGTTTTTCATTTAAAATGCAAAGTCAGAACTTATTAAAAATTAATTTACTTTGTACAACTTTCTGTTCTTAAGGAATTGGGAAAGAAAATCTGAGTGGAGATGTTTCTGAGAGGGAGCAACAGATTAAGCAGGGGTAGGTTTAATTAAAAGGCTGTAATCTGTAGTTCACGTAGTCCTTTATAAAAAGTGCTGAATAAGATGCCTATGTCTTACTGAGCATTGTTCTCTTTTTTTGCATCTGACTTGGCGAAGATGTTTCTAGCCCAGTGAAGCTTCATCGCACGGACACTTTTCCAACCTACAGGTCAGACCATCGATAAAAGACTGTAAAGAACTTTACAAACTCTTTGTCTTCTGACAAACTGCCCCAGTGGATGACAGTGATAATGATAAGCAAGGATGGAAACACAGAAAACTTCAGGTTGGATGAAAAATTCTTGCAATACCAAGGTTTTTTTAAACTTTGCCAAAAGCTGAAACTATTCTGTAGATATTGGGGAGCGGAAAAAACCCAACAAACCCTCCAGTGTATCTTTTATATCTTACAGCTGGACAGAGAAGAAATCACTCCCTAAGTATTTCCAAATGTTTTTGTATGATAGGTATGTTGTAAATACACAAGACTTTCCTGTTGTAGTGTGGTTCCATTTTGTCTATTACAGCTGTGTGTTCACTGATGTCAGCTCTGTCATCCTTGTTTGTTGTAACGCTTATCTTTAGTTACTTACGTTATTGTTCAGCCTAATCCTCGACCTTTTGAAATGGTGGCCAGTTTTAAGCAGCTATTGGATACAATTTTTCCTGTTTGAAGCCTGATGAAGACTTGATTGATTTCTTTTAAAAGCACCCTCTATCTTCTATTTCCTGTATTTATTTCCATCTCTGTAAATGTTTAAAATAATAATAATAAAAGGTCCCACTTAATTTGTGGTACAGTGCTTTTTGTCATCACTATCAGCATCATGAACAGAGCTGTTGTGGAGCCACTAGGGCACTAGAAGGGAGGATGGAGGGGGACAGTGCTTTGCTCTGGATCCCACCTCCACATCAAAAGCCATGCAACCACTCATCACGTGGCCTAGTGAAGCAGAGTAGTAGATTCAACAGGAATCTTGCAATGCCACAAACCATTTTGTGGCAGAAAGCCGATGTTTCTGATTTGTGACAGCATCTGTGTAAGGCACTGCTTTCAGAGATTGGCACCAGCGTCTTAATTTAACAGCAAACAGACTTTTCAAAAATAGCATGGCAGACTACTGTGTGCTATGTCAAATGGCCAGAAATGTATAACAGCTGTAGGCAGAAAGCTATGATTACCCTGAATGCAAGTGAAGTACTGCGCTTAGTGAGGTGTAGTTAAATCATTTTGTTAATAAGCTCTGAGTAAGAATGCCTTGTCAGATTGCAAGTCAGACTGATTGTCTCTAACCATCTCGTTCCTGCTCACCTAACCAGCTTAAGGAATAGGTCTTATTTTGATTGTACCAGTGGGGAATATGGTCTCTGGATATTTTTAATTGAAAAAAATATGGGATACAAATCTAATGATAATTGCATTTATCTAGGCATGTATAATGTTAGCAGCTAAGTTTTCAGCAGATATCCTAGAAGAAAAGTAAAAGAATGCAGCAGCCGGAGTAGGTTTGTAGAGAGTGAACTTCATTTGTTCATGTTTGTAGAGAACGAATTAGCACAGGCTAGTTTTCTCATGTGACAGAGGTAATAGTCTTATGGTTTGAGTAAAAATAACAAATATATTGGCTTTTCATTCTGAATATGAAGTTTCAAAGCAGACTGGGAGGACATGACGTTGGTCATCACCCACATGATGACTAAAAGTAGATTTCAAAACTATACTCATAGTTACAGTGAGCTGTACTCAGAGATGCTGTCAGTGTTCAGTGCTGGAGGAGGACATCCAGAATGGCGTGCGGTTCTGCGTCCGCTTCCAGTCCTGGTTAATCACTTGGACGGAGCAGTAGGGAGTGTGCTTATTAAAACTGCAGATCTATAAAATGGGAAAGGAAGGACACGGGAATACAAGATTAGAATACAAAATGATCTGGGCAAATAGAAGAAATTCAATAGGGACAAGTGCTTCTAAGCAAGGCTAATTGACTACACAGATACATAATGGGAAGAGAAGCAAGACAGCAGCCCTTTAGAAAGGGATGTAAGAGTTGTAGCAGATTACAAGAGGAACATGAGGCAACAAGGCCATGTTGCTGCAAAACAAGTAATGTCATAAGGGAATGTTAAAAGCGTTTAGCTTGCAAGACAGCTGAAGCTATTCTTCTGCTCTGCTCAAGGCTGGCAGGGTCTCAGCTGGAGTCCCGTCTGGTGGCCGATCCCAAGCTAACGTGCTCAGCTACTACAAAGAGCCGTGCCCTGTTACAGTGCTGACACGTTGGGATAGTTCAGCTCTTGCATTGCACTGTGTGCTGCATAATGTCTCTACCTTCCTTTATTGAACAGACTTTCTCTCCAGGAGTAAGGAAGGAGCAGATGTTTCCAAGTCAATTCAGCCTTTCTGTTTGTTCCGGTGTCCTGAAGTAACCAGTCACTGCAGTAAGATCTTTTTTAACTGTTTGGGCTTAGAATCTGTATATCAGTTTAATAAACGTATTATCAATTGTGAGATAAAACACTGGGAAAACGTAAGATATTGGGTTTCTACATCCAAAAGGGTTGTAGTAACAGAACTGGAGGTGAGGGAGGCTTTCAGGGAAGCAAACCGATGAGTGTGGTAAAGGTAAATGTGTTTCTGAAGGAAAAAAATCAATATGCCATCATTGTTTAAGATACACCATAGTGCAAAGATAAGCTTAATTTATTGTAAATAAGGATTATGTTCACTGTATTTCAAAGCTGCACTGCTAACATAAATAAGTGATTGAAAGGCATGTTATGACTAATAGGTCTTTATCTTTCAGGTTTACTTCTGCTAATGTATTCCCTTTAGAGCTGACAGCATCTGTTGTTTTATCATAGATATGACAGTTCAGTAAATGCTTTTATTCACCTTTCACTCATGCAATGATTGATATAGTAAGACTATCTGTGGTTGAACAGTCCAATTACAAAGAAGACAAAAAAAGCCACTCTAACCTTGGCCTTTAAATGAAGGGTCATTAAATCAGCTAGCTCTGATATTATTCTTTCTAGTGAAACTGCCTGCGAAGGATAGAAAAAAAGGCCTAAAAATAACTTTGCTTTGAATTACTATGTGTGTATGACACAATATCAAGAAGCTGCTTTGTTTAATTTGTGGTACCAACAGATTAAGTCATTTAATCTTTGAATCATTGCTGACTCACTTAGTTAGCAAGGTCATTAGCTGAAGGGAGTCAGAGGGTTTGCTGCTCCTATAGTTACTGGCTTTAAGGCGAGGGAAAGGTCTTCGCTGTATTTGGAGCTGGGGCGTTTAGACCGCCCAGCAGACTGCGTGTGTACAACACCGATAGGATGATGCCATCCTGCGTATCAGTTGGGTGCCAGCGGTACCTGGTACGCTGATGAAAACAGATGCAGACTGGCACCTGAGCTACACTCTGTCTGAAGAGGTGTACTTCAGAAAACATGCTGCAAATCCATTTGTAGAGCTGTGGGGCTTAGGGCTACCACGGGATTCAAGGATCAGTGTGTGACAAATCCCTGAGAACTATTTTTCTCAGGTCTCTGCCCTACACATAGGCCTTGCACGTTAACAAGACTTCACAAGGTTTTGGGTTTTTTTTAGCTTGTCCTGTATGCAAAAAGGATGATAACAATTTTATGGACTAGTTTCAATTGCTCCACCAAATTCCAGCATGGCCTTTTATATCCTTCAGCCGCCTTCTTTCTTGAATGTCCACAGAACTTCCTGGATAACTTTTTCAAAGGCTCAAAAATGTTCTGCAAAGTCATCTAGATGTGCAGGTCTTTGGCTCTGTGTAACCTCTCCCATTCATACAGCTCTAAGTAATGCTGTGCGGTTTCTCAGACGGCTGCTTCTCAAACACTGGACAAAAATGCCGTACCCCCAGTCCCTTTCATCCCACAAAAGACCAGTGGCCAGCCTGCAAGACATAATTGTGGAGATGGAAGAACATGTTTTAGGAGCAAAAGAAGAAAGGATCAGGAGAGAAAGCATAGAGCTGCTTACCCCAGTTTTCATATCCATGCTAAGAAAAGTTACTCTATCCTTTGAGCAGGAATGACCCAGCAAACTGGTAATAGCACAGTGGGTAGATAGAGATGGTCCAAACTGCAGCAGAACTTGGCGGGTAATGATCTTAAAAGGCTAATCTTGAAATCAAGTACCTTAGGGAAAAAAAAAATAAAAATATCAAGAATTCAAATTACGTTTCTTTTTCTTAGATGGTCTTTTATTACAGGTAACAGAATGCAAATGCCATTATCTAAAATAGCATAGAGTGCAGCATAACTACCTTAAATCATTGTGCTGCTGAGAGAAATGGGATGGCTGGCATCCTCTCCATTTCCATTTTCTAGAGGGAGATGGAGTCAAACAAGGACTTGCCAAAAGTTGCTCAGGTCCTCAAGGTATTTTCATCATGCTTCAAAACTAATTTTTTTTTAATTAAAGATCTTCTACTTTTTACTTGACCAAGATTTAACAAAACAATTTTTTGCTTCCTTGAGGTAGGGAGTGTAGTGGGTTGTTTCAGCATTTGTCTGAGTGAAACAGCTTTCTTTTTCATGCTTGTACTGTTGTGAATATTTATTCTTAAAATTGTTAGTATTTAGTTTCGTTTTCCCTTCTTACACTTTACAGCAGAAAAGCATCATTAATATTTAAGCAGATGAAGATCTCTTGAAGTTTGTGACTTGTAGCCAGAATGTCATTAATTTAAATAATCACACAGATAAAATTAATGCAATAAGAGTTGTATCTGAGTCCTGTTGCTGAGCAATTCTGGTGAGCGCATAATAATACTGCTGCCTCAGGCATTGAGATCAGGGGTCATGATGTGATATTTCTGTGTGTTCATTAACTTTCACAAGGGCAGATTGATCTTCTGTTTCTGTGAACACTAATGAACCATTTTCTTATTTTTAGGGAATATTCTATCACTACCACTAACCATGTAGTGTTTAAAGAAAAGCTGTTTTCAAACAGAAGGCTCTAATTAGAACTTGGGCCTCAGCTGTATTGATTGCACTACACTTTCTCAGTGGATTTACAAATGCCAGCAAATAAGCTTGCCGGGAAAAAGTTTATTGTAGTGGTTTTCTCTTTAGTATTTAGCCTACGCGTTGTTCTATTTCTTGACAAGCTGAAAAAAGGGAAATAGGTGCCGAGGATGCATTCAGGATG